TATTTAATGTAATTAACCAATAATTAATGTAAATTTCATCCTTCTGCACTCCTCCATATAAACCCAAATCGTTTAAACAATGCCAAAGAAGAAATTTATCCTCCACGCATAAATATATTTACCTAAAAACCTATAACAATCCGCTAAGTAGAATAAAATAAAGGAAAAGTAATCGATTTGTAAATTGATATATCGATTAATTGATAACACAAGTAGTGTGTATCTGACCGTAATTTGAAATGGACAAACCCAACGAGGTTACAGGACGGAGTAAATTCTCGAATACATCGACTTAATATGATTGATATTAAAGGTTATCTGGGACGGAGGCGGACAAAGTTGTAATCACATACAGCCTGCCGAACTTTTATTAAGGGCCTCCACTAATATTGTTTCTTTATATATCGTTTCTGTACAAATAAATGGGCAAAAAGAGGAGGTAGCAAATAATGGCAATTAACGGATAATGCGGAGGCGGTAGGGAATGTGAATATAATCTCATAGCGCAGTTGCTAAGAGGGAATGGCGCCAAGATTAGCGAGTTCGATTCTCGCGCGTAATTAGTTGCGTTTTGTGACCTACTGGTAGTATGTGGCCTACCGATAAATATCATAAGGATAAGGTATAGCAAGAAAAAGCTTGAAAAAAATGTTGATTCGAATCAGAGTTGTGGAATTAGAACTAAACAATAACAATCAGTATCCAAATTAACAACGCTACAAAGCTAACAGTTTAATCTAGAAACGAAAACAGAGCGTTAAAAAAACGTCGAATTCAAAACAATAAAAATACGGGAATCAGTTTCGACTCGGTGATGTAATGCGTGTGGAATAATATGCGTACGCAGTACTTAGGACGTTGTACGCACTGGCAGGCTAGTATCGAGTGCTACAGCCTAAAGTATGGTATGAAGAACTACCATACTTTGGCATTTCGTATGGCTAGTGTTTAAAAAAGAGCAACTGTTGAGTTTATTGCCGGTTTCTTCTCAACAGAAACTGCTTTCCGAACCGGTGGTAACTTACGAACGTATTGATTTTTATGTAAAATTTTTGACATTTCATAAGAACGCGCAAGCGTCTATGTGAACAAATATATATTTGATTTTTTATTTTGATTTTAAGGGCCAACAAGGGCCCACAGTGTTAATATTTTAAACAAATAAGAATATTTTTTTAAATATTGCTCTTACTTTAGTACAACATTATCCTGTGTAAGGACATTTTACAAACATAAATTCCACGTGGACAAACACCCAGATGCGATACCACTGTGTGCGGGTCACACAAATAGTTGTCCCCCGACCTTGGCGACTGCGCCACGGGGTCATCACCGCTTCTGCCCGAAGTGGAAATCCCTAGGGTGGCCATGTTCAGAAGTGGACGCTGATAAGCTGAAATTATGATGACGACGATGAAGTAAACACAAACAGCCAGACACACACCAAAAAAACGGTGTCTGACTGATCGAAGCGGGATGGAGGCCATGTTCAGCAGTGGACGCTTGCAGGTGGAAATTATGATGATGATGAAATAAATACTAAGAGCCACAAAAACCCTGGTTACGTGACGACGGAACGCGATTACAAAACCCGAAGCATAGCCGAAAGCGAATACAGCAAGAGTCGGTGCAAATAAATTAGAATTATGCTAAAATAAGCTTCGGAGATGTAACAGCGACGTGACAATCGAGACTTAAAAGAACTCACTTAATTTGGATACGTAAGAATATTTAAATAATATTTTAATATATGTTCATCGCGTAACAATTGCAAATTAGCGGCAGTCGGTAGGTGTGGAGGAATATCGAAGACCTTCGCTATTTTTTTTTATGTGAATAGTTGCCAAACGAGCAGACGGTTCACCTGATGGTGAGTGAATACCGCCGCGCATGGACATCTGCTACACCCGAGGGTTGTAGATGCGTTGACAACCTTTCGAAAATTGGGCTCCGGCTACCTCACTCACCAGACGAAACGCGAAAGTATTTGTCATACTTCCACTTTACGCTGGTATTCTGTGAGGTCGTGGTAGTTACCCGGACGAGCCTGCCCATTCGTGCAACAGTCGAGGCTGCTGCGTGACCCTACCACCGTAAAAATGAATAAAAATGTATGAATAAAACACGCTCAACTTTGTACTACGGGACTAGATAACTGATGAACATACTTAAACATACTTTTCTTTTGTATATAAATACATATTATACATATATAACCAGACACTAGAAAAAACACTACCTATGTTCATCACAACGCAACGAAAATGTCTGTAATCAAAACCTCACCTACCAGAAGAAACGCATAAGTATAGAATGGCGGTCTACTGCGCGGCCCTGGTACTTCGCTGGACGACCCTGAGCAATCGTGGAGTAGCAAAAGTCCTACCACAGTTAAAACTTAATGAAGCACGGCGATTTGAGAATTTAATTTGCATTCTGATCATTAGGAACACCATTCTGATCAAATCAGAGAGTTTAACTATCCTTTTGGTAAATTAAATAACATTCGAAAAGCCATTTGACAGCTGATTAGTTAATTTCTACGATGATCAGTGGTTCAGAAACCGGGCGTAAGTCACTGAAGGTTTTCGTCGACCATAGAAGACGTAAACAGCACTCGCGTTTAAATAAATAATTAAGATCATCGACTCATTTTATAAATATTTATTTAATCTATAAACTGTTGGCTTCATTACATATTGCTCTTTGTACGATTAAATCAAAAGTACCGATCGCTAATTTGAGTAAAACTAGTGGAACAAACAATGATATCATATAAAAACACGAGATTGATATGACAGACAATAGTGCATCGAAACTGAGGTACTAAAATTACACCAATTGGTGGAGACTGCAATTCTACAGACTGCTATGTCTTTCCGTATCATACTTTCTTTATCGTCTGTCACATTCATTTCTTTGCGTCATATTTTTTTATGTGACAAACTAGCTGGCCGTTAAGGGATAACCGCCGGCCATGGACATTTGCAACAGGGGTTTGTAGGGTTGTAGGGTTGCAGATGCGTTGCCACCTCTTAAAAAAGTGGGCCCTGGCTACCTCACTCACCAGACGAAACGCAAATATGTAACACTTGTACTTCACGCCGGTCTTTTGTGAGGTCGTGGTATTAACCCGGACGGACCTGCCCATTCGTGCAACAGCGACCACTGTTTCGCACCCCTACCACAGTATGTCACATAATGTAATGCGGATTAATTTTTCAACACCGTGCATATGGATTTACGTCATCTTTATTAAAACATTATTGGAAAAACAGCCTCGAAAATTGACACTTGTCGTCTCATACAAATAATAATTAGAGTTTGAACAAAACGTTACGGCTGGTGTCCAGTCTGTATAGGTCACAATATCTTCACGCGTTATAACTACAGGGCACATTACTTACTTCTATACTTTGACGTCAAGCTACGAAGCCATAGTTGTAAAAAAACTTGATTACATAAATTGAATATGCCGTTCCTTTCTAATTATTATTACACAAAGTGACTTTAACGTTGACAGGTAATTTGACAGGGTTGCATTTTGTTCAAAAATTCATACTACACGGACAAAGTTTACAGCTACGGTAAATTTCGTGACTAAGACAAACATAATCTGTTTCTATTATAAAAAGAATATAAATATGTTTTACTTATCCCAGTCCTTGTTATAAAATAAAATTCTAAAGAATCGTTTAAAAAAAATGAGATCATGAGGCACGACTTAATAATGTCTATTAATAAAATTTTATTAATAATAAGAAGCGGTTACGTATAGGCATTGAATAAAATCACGTCAAAAGTTTCAAATCAATCAAATCCTAGATATTAATTATTTAACATTGTTATTAAACGATTCATTGGAATAAGACAATGTTGTCACCAAACAAAAATTAAATCGGGATTGCCGAAAGAGGTCATTTAATAAAACTGGAAAAGGATCCGTGGCTTTTTAACGTGGAAACCGGTTACGAAGATCTTTGAATGTTATTCAGAGGTTCCCTTCACCGCGGGTTATGACTTCACAAAATTACGTCTAAGCATTAAAATCACAGTTTGCTCGCGAGGTTAATAAAATATTGATGGATTTTTCGAAAACAAAGGTGTTATAAACTATTGGTTACTTGGATAGGCTTTATTACCGCGTTGCAGCACAGATAACTTATCAATTAATACGAAGAATTTAAAAAAATTGGTTGCCGCGCGACCATTAGCTAACCGTACTGGTAGTGTGCTTGAAACAAGCGAAAAGTTAATTGAACAATCAACAAACAAATAGGAAATTTGTTTGTTGCGCAAGCGCCCAGAATATTTCAGAAAGGAGGATAAAACTCCACACTAGAGGGAAAGAAAATTTTTAGGTTCCAAAGAGAATTAAGAGGACGTGTATAAGTATAACGTACCTACTACTTTTTGCGCTAATATCTAAAAAATCTATTGGATCGATTGACTCCATTCATTTGGATAATCGTGAAATCAAATGATAAAATTAAAAGAAAATGTTTTACTCCGCGAGTCGGGTTTCAATAGATATTATTCTAAATTCCGTCGCGTGTTTTGTAAGCATAATGTTGCTACATCCATCGCATAGGTGGATTCTCTATTAATCATTGTCGTCCAACAATTACATGACGGGACCGTTTATCAATCGGCTAGAACACGAAACGAACGGCCCATCTGTTATAAGGACTTAGAGGGTATTTCCGATTTTTTGTGTTAAAACTGTGGCACTCGCTGGCGTGTGTTGTCGAAAATATCGACGGTCCGGAATCAACAAGTGCAGAAAGCCGAACGATCGCGACCGCTGCCCCGTCGTCTCCATCGACAACAAACAAAGCAAACCGTAGCGGGGATCGCCGCGAAAACTGGGCTGCACAGGTGAACCAAACTGAGGCCATATACAATCACTTTGGCAATTAATAGAAATAATCTAGCACCTGCAGAATTCGACTGTCACACGGGATAGAGTTCGGTCCACCGTCTCGCTGGCTCGGTCGGCGATGGCTCCCAGTCCCACTCTGTGGCGGTGTTTACGTGCGGGGGGCAACAACACGGGCACGGTTGAACTGGGGCGCGGGCTGGTCGTTCACGACGCGTCCGTTCCGCACGGCGGTCGGCGCGGCACTGGGGCGGCGCGATCTGGCGAGTGCCGAGCGGGCAGTAAACGTGACGGGCACCGCGTTTCGGCCGTACTTTCGCAATATCTTCAGTACCACCAACCCTCTATTCCACGGGTGGTGATAGTCTGCCGTCGGGTAAGCTCGCTTGCCTTGTATATAATAGAGAGTCTGTCTTATCTCAAGCGCATGTGTAGGCTTTCGTTCACAAAACCGTGGAAACGCTAACGCCCCCGCGTGTGTGTTAAAATCTTCATTCGTAACCGCAACGTGTCCACCTCAACGATGTATCGGTTGCCTTCTGCCCAACACATCACTAGTTCACTGCACGAATCTTTATTCTTTGATTATTTACATATCGTGTATTTTTAGCCTTTTTATATTCTTCCTGGGTGTGGTTTTCGCCTTCGTTTCATGAGTAGCGGCTCTGTTGCAGCGCGTGGCGGTGATCATTGGATGTACCATTGTTCATATCTTCTGCATACTGGCCTTATCCCACCCAGGTGGTTCGGCATGTTAATGATATTGACCAGGGTTTGACGAGTTTTTGTTAGTGTGTATGACAAGCCGCCAGCCTGAATTCGACCCTACTAGGGAATAAACACAGGATTCGGAAAAATTATATTCGTTGGGTGACAAATAGTCTTTTTCCGCGTGGGGACCAGACCCACGGCGCCGACGCCAATAACTTAACAACAGCTCCACCAAGTCATCACTCTTATTCATAACAATATTAATAATAAAGTAACGAAAATAATAAATAACATTGTCGAACCCCTCACAAGTGAGATGCAGCATGTGACGTGCTCAAACACTGCTTCCGGATCCCTTTGTCCCGCTATCTGAGTCTTCTGACTGGTCATAGACTACCGTGGCCAACCTGGAAGTACCGTACCGGAACGACACGTAAAGAAGAATTTTCAAAAGGTTGTCAACGCATCTGCAACCCTCGGGTGTAGCAGATGTCCATGGGCGGCGGTATTCACTTAACATCACGTGAACCGCCTGCTCGCTTGGCAATTTTTCACATAAAAAAAATAGATGGATCCTTTGTTGCTTTTGCATTGTAGACGTGCATTCTCAGGCGTGGTTTCGAGTCAAGTTGTAAGTTGTTTTGGCATGCAAGCAATTAACCCGAGTGTAGAACGACCTCCTACGAAACAATGGCTGCATGTGAAAGGCCCTCCTTTAAAAGAAAGGTACTAAAGTGCCTTATCAAGTGTCATTAAAAGTTCGCGCATTTAATCAGGATTGTAAAATGGTACAATACTTGTGAGTTTCATACTAAAAAAGGATCGGAAACAACTACCTGTGGTTCACACAAATACTTGTCCCGTGTGAGAATCGAACTCACGGCGCCGTAACCGTCACCCAACCCATGTGTCAACCAAATATGAAAGGAGATTTAAGAGGATTACTGAGAAATAGACTATACACGATATTAAAATTGTTTGTTTCCTACAAATCCTACAAAAGGTCAATCTACAAGCACAACCTAGATATTTATGTTACTTAAGCAACACTTTCGGTAAAGACTTAAAACTTTATTCAGCCAGCAAGTTAAAGTTAGGTAGTTAGTTCGTCCTGTCACCACGAATTCTGTTAAATATTAAGAAAGACGGGAACTTTACTTAAACTAATAAAAAGCGATGTATCCCTTAAAATAGTTTTATTTTATTAAACGTTAAAGAATTTATTAAGCAGATCGAAAACGATCATAATTTACATTATGTATTGTGTATCCTCACCTTGAAGGCTCGCTATGAATTAAACCTTCGATTAATTTTAATGAATCATATTATTGTAATAGACGCAGGGTTGACCCAATTAAAATTATACAATAACAGTGTTACCAATAATATAATCGAGCAAAGAAAGATCAAATCCCATTGCCGTCATTTCGTCTGATAATAAACGTGTTCAAGATTAAAGAGATTACGAGTTTCACCAATTGGCTGTGTTCTTGAATTCTGAGGCACTTTGACAGACGGGTAAAAGTTATCAGACAGCGAAAAGTAATGTCCTGATATAAGTAAACCTTCATGTTATAAAGTCCCGGATCACTTCTACCAGTAATTGTGCTATAAGTACGGCGAAACCAACACATCGTGTACACAAGGTACACTCTGGTCTCAGGGTGGTTCTCACCGTATCCCACGGAACGAAAGTACGGTCCGCATGTAGTAGCCGGCGATAAACTTCATGCACGCATGTCAACATGCGTGACTCTACTTAGAATTACATCAAGCCTGGAAAGGTAGGTATCCTTCCAATAGCTCTATGCCAGATGAAACATTATATAGCCTGTGCACTGAAAGCGCAAACTACATCTATCATTATGAAGACAATCTTTTCACAATCTGAATAAATCTATACACATATAAACAAACTAAATAATTCAACATAAATATTTATTCTTTATGTACTTCTTTCATTTTATTAAGCATTTAATTTTTTTTTATGCGAAAAGTTGCCAAACGAGCAGACAGGTCACCTGATGTTAAGTGAATACCGCCGCCCATGGACATCTGCTATATCCGAGGGTTACAAATTCATTGACAACCTTTTGCAAATTGGGCTCCGGCTACCACACTCACCAGACGAAACGCGAAAGTATTTGTAATACTTCCACTTTACGCTGGTCTTCTGAGAGGTGGTGGTACTTACCCGGATGGGCGTGCCCATTCGTGCAACAGCCGAGGCTGCTCCGTGGCCCTACCACCGTAAAGATTGTTACTTAAGTCTTGAGCTCTATCGACTTACTTATCTTTTTTATTTTGCTTTGTTTACATTTTGCTTTTTTTAAAGATCAATTCATTAATAATAATTAATAATTTACATCGATTTTCGTAGTTTCGGGAAGTGAATTCCAAAGACCCTGCATCACCTGATGATTGCAGCAACAAGTAGCAACGATAAATCGAAGAGCGCTGTAGTAACTCGATTGAAATCCAAGCCGAGGTTCGAACCTCCATCTGAGGGGCCCTTGGATCGTGTCGTGCCCTCCCCCCTTGTTAATCGGTTGTCTATCGAAAATGACACATCGCTAACGAAATAGCAGGGTGTTGCGGAGTGGAGCGGAGCGGACGTCGTCTTCGTGTCGTCGTCGTGCGCCAGCTACGTTGTTCTCCAGAGTCCGTGGCGTCCCGCGGACCTCTTCCGCTGTACTGACAAAGTCGAAGAGTATTTGGGATTAAATAGGAACGTTCGTATCAACTACAAAAATTTCCTATAATATTTAAAGGATAACGATTGAGATAAAGAAATGCTTTTTGTTTGTATAATTGGTATGTCATCCTATAACAAAAAGTTGTTGTTTTATTCGAATAAAGTAATAAGTCGAATATAGTTAATATAACATGTGTACATAATTACAGTATGTCATACACTTTAATATATGTAAATACACAATAATAATTCGGTACCAACCACGCAGCCGAAATAGCTCAGTTGGGAGAGCGTTAGTTTTCGGCAATAAAATTTTTATGTTTTTAAGTAACTGTAATTATGCGAATTAATTACATTTTAAAAACGTGCTTACATTGTAATATACATAATTTAGGTCCAAGTAATGTTTTAATTCTATGAATCTTTTATTTATAAAATAACATACAAATATTCATTCGAGTGAATAAACGCGTGCAAATGCATTTGTACGTTAATAATAACAATAAGTTTAATTAAAAAACGGGCCAAGTGCGAGTCGGACTCGCGCACAAATAGTTCCGTATCATTCTCTATAAAAACGGCAAAAGAATCATGTCTGTTGTATGAGAGCGCTCAATTAAATATTTTTCTATTCTGTTTTTTAGTATTTGTTGCTATAGCGGCAACAGAAATACATCATCTGTTAAAGTTTCAACTGTCTAACTATCACGGTTCATGAGATACAGCCTGGTGATAGAAGGAAAAACTGACGGTGGAGAAAGTCTCTACTACTCTACTAAGTTTCTCTACTACTAAGTAGTAACAGGTTACCCTTTTACCCTTTGGGTACGGGGTAAAAATGCTTCAGAGGAAATATATACAAACATCGTCTGAGAAATACTTAACTTGCAATTCATTTGTAACAATCTTGAACCTAAAATTCGTCTTTCATTTCAAACCTTGGTTTGAACAGCGCCATCTGTTGTTCAAAGATAAAAGGTAGATGCAGAAAAATGCGGCTGAAGACCCTTCTTATTGCAATGTTAGAAATGTACTTGCTATTTTAAAACCCAACATTTCCTTTTTTGGTGGAAAAGAACTTTCCACTATTTAAGTACGGTGTTTTTAATGGTTTTTCTTGTGAGAAGGTGGTAAACAACACCTCGCGGTTCACCTGATGTTAACTGATAAACGTCACCCATGGACATTTGCTTTTCCCGTAGGATTGAAGATGCGTCGTCACTTCTTTATAAAGTGGGCTTACCTTATCTCACTCACCAGACTAAATCGGTTTATCATGTGTATATTGTAACGAAAGGATTAGTAAAAGTAACTCCTACGGCCGGTTTCTGAAACACTGATGATCGTAGATGTCAACTAATCAGCTGTCAAATGGTTTTCAAATTTAATTTTAGTTGCCAAAAGGATGGTTAAACTCCTTGGATTGATCGTTCTGATCATTAGAAGATCATTCTGGTGAATTTAGAGAGTTTAACCGTCCTTTTGGCAACTAAAATGAAATTTGATAAGCCATTTGACGGTTGATTAGTTGACATCTACGATGATCAGTGTTTCAGAAACCGGGCGTTAGTGTAGCTTAAGCACTAGTCAAGGTTTAAGGCATCCTTATTTTATGTAGAACGTTATTTTGCATTAAATTTTATAGCAATGAACTTAATTTAACACTTTTGGCTCACAAAAAAACTTATTCGTAGAAGTCAATTTAAAAAACTTCTCTTTATAGTTTTATTTTAAACTTTTAGTTAAAAAAAGAGTTATTGCCGAAACCCGGGATTGAACCGGGGACCTTTAGATCTTCAGTCTAACGCTCTCCCAACTGAGCTATTTCGGCTATAACGACATAGAACGAATTACAAAATATCACTTTCTTTTTTTAAATGTACTTATATACCCGTATTTTCATATGAATCCTATTAATTTATTACCTTATCAACACTTACAAAATTATTACCGAGCAACATGATCAAATTAAATCGCTATTCAATCCTAAAATATCAATTTTATTAAAAGCCTAACACGCAAAATATACGATTATCTTTATCAGGAGTAGGTCACACGTGCGACGAATAACGTCCACTTAGCAAAACAAAATGAAAGGAACGGAAATATATTTTTAGATTTTCAATAATGTTTATTATTAAAAAAATGGGCTTACGATCGCGAGCTAACTGTGAAACAATAGCCATGAGGAGTGTGTCTTTTTTCATATTTTTCTTTGAGTAGGACACACGAGCTTCGCTTCACCTGATGTTAACACTTCACCTGATGTTAAGTGATAACCGCCGCCTATGGATGATATCTGTGACACCTACACGGTTATGGATGCGTTGCCCCGTAATAATAAAGTGG